GCACTGTTCTATTCCTTTTATCCCTATGTTTCTACTCAGATGGATAAATGAAAATTCATCACCATCATCATCCATTCCTTATCCCAACTATATAAGGTCCGCTACATGAATCTTGTTTAACCAATCCATTCTACTTAAAGTCATATTCACAGTTAGATTGATAAATGAAAATTAAAGCAACAAAATTTTGAAAGTACCAACAAAATATTTGTTCAATAATCTAGAAATAGCTAGGACAAGACTTTTTTTGGATAGTTAACAGAAACTTTTATTAATAGAAAGAATTAAAAGGAGGATACAACAGGAGGGAGGGAATAGCTAGGACAAGATATACTCCATTTCTCACAAACTTTCCCATTTAATATTTCAGTACATTGAGAAACCATTTCGTACAATAAAGATATGGAGTATAAAAGATGATACAATAAATATCAAGATTAAAATGGTAAAGTAGAATCTACTCACAAAGGATATGGCACTTAACAGAATGGAATGGTGAAACAGGATTTATGTAGCCAACCCCATATAGTTGGGACAAGGCTTGGATGATGATGAGATAAGTAAGATGAGTAATATGGCTGTGGGCAGCTCTGTGACAGACTGGGTGCTGATCCTACGAGATATTTAGACAGCTAGAAAAGGTGGACCTCGGAAATAGATTAGGGGAGGTCCTGGGTTTTCAAATATGTAAAGTGGAATTTGTTCATCACTCTTAAGTTGGTCTGTGTAATCAGATGACAATTTTCCACCCTTATATGTAATCTCTTTTTGTTTCTTTAATAAAATTTCTTATTTAATATTTACTTATCAAAAAAATGCATGAGTCCAAAAACTTTTACCATGTCAATATCTTTGAGTGAAATTACTAGAAAAGGTCAATTTATTTGAGGGGATAAAAAAAGGAATAGCATCAGAACTGCAAGCCTTCTTTGATGGAAAAAAAAAAAAAAAAAAAAAAAAAAAAAAAACAGGAAATTTGTCAAACATAATGAGCAAAGACCAAGTTTGCACATGTCCAAATGAGGGCCCTAACTAAAAGTTTAGTAAGGGAAACATTTAGTGTTCTAAAAACAAAATAAAACTACGAAGCTTAGAATTCCCAATGCAATGATGCACATGTTAAGAGGTGTCATTTCATGGGCAGATTAGTCATTCTATTCTTCATAGTGAGGGAGGGCTTACATTTATGTACTTGTATTAGTATTATGATTAACTAGAAAATTTGTGATTCTAGATGGCGGGTGATCAAGAGCAGAGTCTTGGATATTATTCAAGATCCAAGCTGCTACCAAGAAACATGATGATACTAACTTCTTTGAATGGTCACAGTTCACAAAATTGCTTGTTGGAGGCTGTAGAGAGATGAGCTATCTTAGACAGAAAAAGGGAAGAAACCCCAATCTGATGATCCCTCTTAACCTAGTAGGACTAGGAGAATTTGATAGTGAAGTCATAGCTAGTTTGCTCTATGCAACCTCATATTGAAAGAACTATATGTTCCTATCTATGGCCAATGATAGGGGTGGTCATTCTTGGTTCGGCCCAGCCCACAATATAATATAATATATATTATCATATATATTATACATAATATTTTATACGAGGATATATTATATTATATATAATATATAATAAATTATATACACTTACAAAATATAAAAAATTTATTATATACATATGACACATGACAATACACAAGTCAACTCAAATATGAGAATTGTTCTCATAGGCAGCGTCTTTTATAGATGAAGGCCCCCATTTCCTTTCCCAAGCAATGTGGGACTCAGAACAACACTCAGTAGTGAGTTTGACACACACTACACTCACTACTGAGTGTTGTTCCAGGTTGCACATTGCTTGGGAAAGGGAACGAAGGCCTTCATCTATAAAATGATAGGCAAGCCAAGTCTATGGATTAAATAAGGCCCATGCCTTATCTTTTGTGCCATAGACCCAAAGCCTAGCCAAGCCCAGCCTAACTTGGGGCTGTGTATATTATTTTCATGTATTATACATTATTTAGTTTAAAGTTTTCTAAATAATTAATTTTTTTTAATTAGATGCCATGGGCCTGACCTAGCCCAGGCCTAGGGTCCATGCCAGGCCGGGCCCAGGCCTAGGCCATAACCCCTAGCCAATGACATATGAGATAGGATGACTGACACATATTCATGGGTCAAGAACCATGGTGTACCAATTGTGTAGAAGTAGGCAATATTAGACTGGGGGAGTAGTCTGCGGTGATATATTTTTCTTCCTTTTAGGCTTTGCGGAGAAGAAATAGACCAGCTAGAAGATCTTGAGTGGATGAACCCACTATTCCACTTGATGATGAGCAGTACAAGGTACATATAGAGAAGCAATGAAGCTTCTGAGATTTCTGCTATGATTAGCTCTAACTTTAACTTCACAAGGCAGGATATTCTGAGCAATGATGCTCTTGGCCTTTATTTATTTTCTTGTTTGGGAGGGGAGTCAGAGATTTTCCATGGTGATTACTCATGCACTTGAAGTCTGGAACATTCTGCATTGATCACTAGTAATAATTTTTATCACCTAGTGGAGACTCATTTGAAAAGAAAATAAAGATATTCAGATCTAACCATGCTAAGGAATTTTTTGAAAGCAACTTTGACATTATTTTTGGAAGAAAAGGGAGCAATTCACTAGAGCTCATGTGTGTAAACCACAATAAAATGGTGCAACAAAAAGAAAGAGTAGACATATGTGTTAAGGTTTCCAAAGGGCTACTGTTTTAGATGTCCCCATTTGGTTTTAGGGAGATGTCTTCTTACTATAATCTATTTGATCCAAAAACTGCCTTCCGGGGTGCTCCAGTTCAAGTCCTCACATCAACTAATTGTATGGTGATGAGTCTATCTTTAGTCTTCCTTTACATGTCTTTGGTTGCACGTGCTTTGTTCATAATGTGAATCCTTCTAGAGTCAAATTTCATAGCAAAGCAATAAAGTGCATTTTTTCTTGATACTTTAGCACTCAAAAGGGGTATACCTATCTTGATCTTGCCTTTGGCAAGTGGTATCCAAGTTCCAAGGATGTACCCTCTTTGTGTCCCAACATTTCTTTCATTTATGTGTCTCTCCTCAAGAAGAGACTATCTATGAAGAGAAACAAAGCCACTTTCCTTTGCTTATTCCCGTACCTGTTCCTACTTCTGACACTTCTCTTGCTTATGAGCCTCCATCTACTAGTATCCTTGAATCTTCTCCATCTCCTAGTGTCCCTAAGCCTTTTAAGTTCCCCCATTAATTTGTCAAGACAAGAGTTGTAGGCATACACCAAACAAAAGGTGACTACAGAAATTGAACTTCCAAACAATCTGACTCCTCAGGTTTAGGTAATTCTACTAGCCATGCTCCTTGCTCTTCAGATGATTCATTGTCTAACATTGACCTTGATCATTCCATTGCTTTGTGCAAAGGTAAAAGATAATGTATTCAGTCCTCTAGTAGTGTTCTGTACCCATTTTCTAATTTTGTTTTCTATAACTCTTTCCCTCCACCATACTGTTGTGACTTGGTCAAGTGTTGAAGTATAGAATTGTGGCACATGGAGTCTCAAAGTTGCTCTGGTTAAGAATTCTTCTAATAAAGTTATGGTATCAGATTTGAAGGCCCTATGGATAGGGGTGCAAACATATCCAATTGGATCAGATATAGGTAGATCCAAATTTGATTCATTTGTACTCAAATTCAAATCGGATCTTATTCAATGGATTTATGTTGGATTGGGATCAAATTCAGATTTCAATCGGATATTGAATAGTATAAATAAATTAAACTAAAAATAATCAAAATAATATATTGTATCCATAAAATTAATTAAACATGACTTTGATATTATATTTTATGAACAAAATTAATTGATAATTACTTATATGAAACTGGTACCTATGAAATTCAGTAAAAACACAACATTCAAATCAATTTTACTAACACATCATAAAAATTTTAAGTATATAGAGTATATGCATATTAAAATCGAATTGCATAGGATTATATTACAGCAGATAGGGGTGGATCCATGTTCAATTAAATTATCAATCAGATCAACCTTCTCTTATTATTACCAAAGAATTCAGATCGACCTTAATGGGATCGAATTCAAATACAAATTTGGACATCAGATACCATTTGCAGCCCTACCTACCAAGCTATTTTGTAATAATCAGGCAGCAATAAACATTGCCAACAATGTTTAGTTGGCCAATTGCATAACAAAAGGAGACCCTCAGTCCAAGTTAGAAGAAAATTTGTGCAAGTTAGGCATTTGTAACATTTGCACCTAGCTTGAAAGAGAGTGTTAAGAGCCACCACGTAATGGGCCAATCAGTTACTTTATTCTTTAATCATTATACTAGTTGAGGGCTTATGTGTAATTTACTTGTATTAGTATAAATGTTAATGAGAGGATGACATCCAACAGGTTTTGCCCCTTCAGAAATTTTTCTCTTACTCTTCACAAAACTTACAACCAGACTTAGATCTAATTCACAAGTGCACAAAAATGATAAGAGGGAAATATGAAACAGATCCCTAGAGCAAAGAATAAAGGAGCAGAACTCTCCCATTTCAATTAGATAACGTCTCAAATAACTTGTTTTTCCTCAAACTGAGGCCCGCCTTCTCATGAGAAAGTCTGAAGCCGTAATAGACTATTCTAGATAAACTCAAGATGAATATGAGTATGTCCATAAAGAACAATAGAGAGATAAGCCAAAGGAGATGGAAAATAAAACATGATGTCTGAGCCCAAAGTTTGTAGTATCTTGCTTCTAGTTATATAGACTAAGAATATTTTCCCATGAAAAAACCATTAAGCAATAAAGAAAATTTAAGTAGCTCAGAACCAGATAACATGGAAGGCATCTCAACTTAACAATGTTATAGAAGAAGCACAAAACAAAGAAAAGGAAGAGAGAAGAAGAAGATAGAGAATGAAAAAATCCATAATTGAATGATGGTCTTTAGAAAACTTACTGCAAATCATTAACCCGACGAGACGTTCTGCGCTCAACATTCCTGACAGAGAGTGGCTCTTCCCCGAGCGAGAATTGTTTTATTTCAACCCTCTCCACATAATCAGGTTTCTTCAGATTATCAATGACCGGCTGAAGCAACCCAATGATCCAATTCTCAATACCAGATCTGTACACCTTCCACAGTTTTCCGAGAACCATGTTCACCCATTCCACAGACTCTTTTCTTTGTAAATCCTTCTCGAGGAACAAAGAAAAGCTTGTAGGCACCTGTGGCCAAATACCAGTCCGAGCATCAGGGCTCTGTTTATTTCTCTTCCTTGATGTCCACAGCTTATCAAAGACAACCCCAACAAAGAAAAAGAAGACAAAAAGACCCACCACATTCCTGTTGATTGGAGGAGAGGGAATGGGGTGGATTACTCCTAGCTGAGTCCTGAGTTTATCGACCATAGGATCTTCCTGGAAGCTAGTAAAACTCGACGCCATTTGAATATGCTCCGGAGCAAGTTCTCCATGGTCCAATTCATCTACAAATCGCTTAGCAACCAAGACTTTTGCGCCCCGCCTTGCTGAATTGCAAAACTCAATACTCAGATTCGGATTTCGACCATCGGCCGAAGGAAGCATACATGCTCTACAAATCCATCTTCTTCGAGAAACCTTACTGGAGACAATTCCAAGAAATAATTTTTTCCCACAGCACCCAATTAACCGGGAATTCCTTACATTTCCACCTCCACTCCTAACCCCAATTCTATCAATCTTACGAGGATAAACGGAAGGCGAGACCCAAACAAGATGCGAGACAACCCAGCTCGCAGAAGCAGATTGCAAGATCATTTAAACCGTTGAAACTCAGAGACCCAAATCCAAAAGGGGCTCTGCAATTCATACGAAGTATACAGGTAAACATGAATCCAAAGCCAGATTGACTGGCAAGTAATCTCCCGAACCCAAGAAGCAACAGAAGCTAACAAACCTAGAATCCCAAGCCGCCACTAACGCAATCTGGATAGCTTCGGGTTAAGGTACCCCAGATTAAACTCGGGAACCGATGAAATCTCCATATAAAAAGGAAAGCCGAGACCAGTTTACAGATTGCAGGTCAAAAAGAACAGATTTCGAACTTTTTAGCCAAAAAGTCGGCTCTAAAATGGAACTGAAAGCGAAAGGATTTTCTTTCTTGCGACGACTGAATTTTCTTTCGGGGTTTGGAATCGAGTTGGGGAGAAAATGGAGGAGATAAAAAAGAAGGGGTGGGGGTGGGAGAGGTGAGAATTAAGCGTTGAGACGCCAGTGAACTGAAAAAGATTCGGTGAGAGTGGAGGGAAGCAGAGAGAGAAGGTCCCATTCATCCATGACGCGATCACATCTCGTTTTACAAGCCTCAAATAGGAAATGAAGTGGATAAAAGTTTCCTTGGAAGAACGTGAACGTGGACGTGGGCGTGGCGTGGATGACTCTGGCCGCCGCTGGGTCAATCGACTCGCCGACGCGATTGCTCTTGCCTCTTGTTCGGCGGTCGGCGCGCCACCTCACTCCACGACTGTCACGTGAATAACGAATGTCACATGAATAACGAATGTCACGTGATTTTTTCGTGAATTCCGTTGTCGTTGAATGCACACCATCTTTGAGTCCCGATCTGTTACCAACAACACGGTCCATACAAAGTGTGGCAGCCAGACATCAGGAACATTTCGCTATGAAAACACAAAGGGAGATGCCCCGATGTATCAAATCATGGTTTTCGAAACATCATTGATCCGGACGGTTGAATCGCTTGCTTTAGATTTGATTGGTATGTATTTGGTTTCGTGGGCATTTATAGATAGATCATTTATTCGTATTTTTTCACTTCAAACATTTCCCTTTGTTTATTGTTTGTTTGACTTCTTTTAAACGTTTTTTACATTCTTCTTCATATATCTATTAAAGTGTATCACATCAGTATTTGGTTTCAAGAAACATTCTCGCTTGGGAGAAATAAGAAGTTGACGTTTCTCCAAATGCTTTATGCATAAAAACTAAAGTGCTTTAGTTTTTTACCATTTATTTGATAAATGGTGAAATTAAATAGTTGTTTCATTTTACTTCATATGCAATAAATGTCAATGCCTATGTGTTGCTGATGTGGTAGTGTTTTTTCAATTAATTCTCATGAAACCAAACACAACCTTGATGGGCGAAAGAGTCCAAGTAGTTGAATCATCAACTCATTTGACCTGAACATCATTTTTCGACCATTTTATGTTTTAATTATTTGGGTTAAATACAAAAACCTTCCTTTAAGTTTCTAACAATCATAAAAACCTCCCCTATAGTTTCATTTTAGCAAATATATTTCCTGAACTTTTGAGAAATTCAACAAAAATCTGCTTTCCGTCACCTTTCCAACGGAAAATGTTGGACTGATACACCAACTTTTTTTCCAAACACCCATTCTACCCTTTTATAAATTATTTTACATACAAAATTACTAAAATAACTATTTTTAACTTAACAAAAACCTCCTTTAACAGTCATCTTCTAACGATTTTGTTGAGTTAAAACAGGGCTATTTTCAGTAATTTTGTATATAAAATAATTTATAATAGGGTATAATGGATATTTGAAAAAAAATACTAGTGTATCAATCTAATGGTTTCCGTATAGAAAGGTGATAGAAGGGAGATTTTTGTCAAGTTTCTCAAAAGTTCAGGGGAGGTATTTATTAAAATTAAACTATAAAGAGAGCTTTTTATGATTATCAGAAACTTTAAGGGAGCTTTTTTTATTTTACTCTAATTATTTTTTTAAATTATAATGAATCATTCATTTGGACCAAGCAGTCAAACCATTGACCTAAAAACCGGTGGCCAAATAGTTTTGGATTGGTTTTTAAAACATTGTACTAAAATAGACTATTAGGATTATGTGTTGGGAATAGATCCAATCGTGATGGCACACACACACGTTGAACACACTACCTAAGTATTCCATGAATTTTTTGACATCTGTCCCTTTAATACCCAGTCCACCCTTCAAAAGATTAAAAGAAAATTTCTACTACAATTCATGAGAATATCAAATGAGTGATTAATGTTCACAAAGGTGCCAATGATCTATGTAATGAGAGCATTATTGAAGGTATTTCAATTACCACTTTAGTCTCAGTTTGGAAGGAGTATAAATAAAAATATGTACAGTATAAATACATAGATCATTGGCACCTTTGTGAACATTAATCACTCATTTGATATTCTCACCAAATACAAGGTTGTGTACTCTATAAATTTGTACTTCTACTCCTTCCAAATTGAGCTTTAAGACTTACTAGGGCTATATTAAACTTATGGTGGTATAAATATTGGTATCAGAATATTTTAGGTTTTAGGAAATGGATTAAAATTATACTATTATTTAAAAATTCTCTCAAATTATCTCGAAGTTTTATGACAATTGACAAAATCCTCTCCTATCGTTAGTGTGCCATTAAATTCTGCTGGCATGTGGTGCCAAGTGATTTATATAATTTTTCTGTCTCAGTTTGGAAGGAGTACATATACAATACAAATATATACAAAATAATACAAAATACAAGGTTTTGCACTCTACTATTTGTACTCCATCCAAATTGACCCTAAATTTCAAAAATACCATTTTGCAGTCAAAATTATCCATCGACCTTGACTGTAAATTTTCAAATAAAACCTAACGGATTGAAAATTTTAATAATGCCTTTACCCATACACTGAATGTCTCCAATAACCAATGTCCAGCATACTTCCCACCATCGACTAAATGAGAATGTCACTTAACTGCAAGATGTAAATGTTGCATAGCTGATGCCTTCAAAAAGATGTTGCATAGCTGAAATTCGCATTGATGTAAAACAATGGCAGTGCAAATAATTTGAGTGTAAATTTTGACCTATTTTTGTTTCAAATTTTAGCTTATTTTGTTTGATTGGGGTGCAATTAAGGTAAATTAAGACATGAATTAAAATAAAGTAAAATCCAAAACAAAATTAAACAAAAATTTGCATTTTTTTTACATTTGCACTCCCATGCATTTATACTAGTGCAAATAAATTTGCACTGCAACCAAACACAGCCTTAGGAGTTGTCATTGCTTGAAATATATAGGAGAAAATGTGAGAAATTATGAGAAATATGGCTTGTTTGCAAAGCACCTCTTTGCAACATTACTATAAAATCTGAAAAAGGGGCATATAATCATGTTGGTAGCGGATATAAGGCCACATTTGGTTCATGGGAATAGGGGTCTGGAATTGGAATCAGAATGGGCTATTCCAATTCTAACTGTTTGGTTGGGTGGAATCAGAACCCCATTCCCATTCCTACTGGAATGACATGTCCCCATATGAGGGAATGGTCATTCCTTGCCTCTCCCTTGGGAATGAAATCCTATTCCTACTGATTTCAATTTCCATTCCCATTCTTGTCTGAACAAACATACTATGGGAATGGACTATTCCGATTCCAATTCCGACTGTGAACCAAACAAACCCTAAGAGTCCATTTGGTTTGCAGTCAGAATCAGAATTGAAATCCTTTGCAATCAGAATCAGAATGGTTTATAGTCTGGTTGATTCAAACAAGAATCATAATGAGAATTGAAATCAGTTGGAATAGCATTTCACCAGGGCACCAAGAATGGGATGGGATTTTGGTTCCACTCAACCAAACAGTAGGACCCATTCCAATTCCAATTCCAAACCCCTAATATTCCCACAAACCAAATGGGTCCTAGGTGAAATATAATCATGTTAGTTAGGATAGGAGCCTAGGACAATAGGTCTTGGGTATTAAAGAAAAAAAAAAGTTTTCACCAAGTCTTTTTGTATTGTTATGTAGGTAGATCAAAATGTTTAAATCTAACAACAGGCAGTCAGAAACAAGGCCAATGGTGCAACATGGGTCCAAACTAACTCCATGTGCTTTCAGAAACACTCAACCTCATGAAGTCTAAGATTTGGACTATACCCCTGCATCCTCTTAGTGTGATAAATTTCTCTGTGGCCACCATTATATTGGAAGACTCTTACTTCAAACCTTCATGTAATCATCTACAAAGCATTTATTTTGTTTGGGGAAGGGGGCATTTAGGCTTGACCATAACATGCAAGAACTTTCCCAATTTGTGACTCCATATGATCGCATTAATTCTTACAATTTTCAATTTATAATACGCAAATCTATTTAAACCTTCAATGATGTTTAAACTTATACCTCAAAAGAAAAATCTTGATAAAATCTCAAACAAAAAAATCCAAAGAACTATCTATTTTAATATGAGATAAGCTTCTATGGGTATACTTTGAGCTGTGAAATTCATTGGCTCCATTGGGTTCTAAGATATATAATTAGTTTTAGTCTGCAACAGAGAAAATAGGTGTGAGACAGCTTCAAAATAACCATAGAATCAGGTTTAAAATGTAGATACGCCAAATATGCATCTTTTGGGAGTTTTACCTATTTCGGGGGATAGGCAGGCCTAAGTCCTATCCCTCTGCCCTATTTTTGAAAATAAAACAAAAAAGTGTGGTACAAAACACTAATACACCCCTTCCGCCATATCAGGGTGTATCGATACTTTGAACCTTGCAGTATTAACAAAAAAAAAAAAACCATGAAAATAAACATTAAACAAATGGGTAACATATACTGGAAACAACCTCTGTTAGACTTAAACAACAATGGCAAGCTCATTATATAGCCTCTTTCCAATTTTGCTCCAGAAAACAAGTTATTTTAAGAACATTTGATATATAAGGGATCTAGATAATTCCTATTCATGGGGCCATTGCTTGTAGTGGTAAAATCTTGAGCTGACACCCTAGATAGCTAGGACCAATAATGGGTAATCCCCTTTTTGATAAATCCTATTTTTTTATTATTTTTTAAGTCAAATTATTCCTATTCATGCATTCTCTGAAATTAGCTCATGTGCATAATTTTATATTAGTACTACTAGGGACCCATGCAATGTACAGGCTTTGTTAAAATAACTTAAAGCAAAAGGAGTTAAGGTGTAGATTGAGTATGCCTAACCCAAGCTCGACCCAACTCAACAAACATATCTATATATTAGTAATATATTCTACCTGGTGTCAGTACCCGATTTTTGCTCGATTTGCCACGTAAAACCACCAATTTTCCCAAACACCCGATCAAATTCATCCAGCATCTCCAAAACACCTAAAAACCCAAATTTCACCTTGATAACCTTCAGATCCACCATTAAATTTACCCGATACCTATCTGATGGCCCGATTGACCCTTACTTACACCTCAATCATTAGATCAGACACATCCATAAGACCTGGAACCTCCCAAAACACCTACCCCATGAAATTTGAACTCAAGATTCTTCCGTTTACCCGTCCATCAAACAAAGATTCCATTTTGACCCTTCTCACACCCACAACACATATCCACTTGATCCAAACACATATAAACCAATAGAACCATGCCAATCACCCCAAAATACCAGAAAAACCTCTACATATGAAATTTCAGCCCAAAAAACCTCCATTTACCCTCAATCATACCAAAATT